TCACCAACCCCTCATCAGACAAAGGTCTGATTTCCAAAATATACAAAGAACTCAAGAAACTAGATGTTAAAACTCTAATTAATCCAATTAAAAATGGGGTACTGAACTGAACAGAGAATTCTCAACAGAAGAAGTTCGAATGATCATAAGATTCTTAAGGTTATGTTCAACCTCCTTAGCGATCAGGGAAATACAAATCCAAACAACTTTGAGATACCATCTTACACCTGTCAGAATAGCTAAAATCAAAAACACTAATGATATCTTATGCTGGAGAGGATGTGGAGTGAGGGGAACACTCATCCATTGTTGGTGGGAATGCAAACTTGTGCAACCACTTCGGAAATCAGTGTGTCGGTTTCTCCAGAAACTGGGAGTCAACCTCCCTCAGGACCCAGCAATTCCACTCTTGGGGATATACACAAGAGATACCCTATCATACTACAAAACCATTTGTTCAACTATGTTCATAGCTGCACTATTTGTAATAACCAGAACCTGGAAACAACCTAGTTACCCCTCAATAGAAGAATGATTAAAGAAGGTGTGGAACATATACACATTGGAGTTTTACTCAACGGTAAAAAACAATGACATCTTGAATTTTGCATGTAAATGAATGGAAAAAGAAAACGCTTTACTGAGTGAGGTAACCCAGACCCAAAAGAGGAATATGATATGTACTCATTCATAAGTGGATTCTAGCCATAATTAATGGACATTGAGCCTATAATTTATGATCCTAGAGAAGCTAAATAAGAAGGTGAACCCAAAGAAAATCATATAGTTATCCTCCTGGATATTGAAAGTAGACTAGATTGCCAGGCAAAACTTGTGTGTTTGGGGTGTGGGGGTGGATGTAAGGGGAGATTGGTAGAGAGAAGGGAGAATAGGAGGATTCGGGAGTACTTGGGGGAATGGGATTGGTGGGATTGAGGAAGGATGAATATGTGAGCAGGGAAGTAAATATCTTAATTAAGGCAGCCATTTTTGGGTTTGCAAGAGACTTGACTCTAGAGGGGTTCCCAGGTCCAAGGAGAGGTCCCCAGATTGTTCTTTGGGCAGCAGAGGAAAGGATGCTGAACTGGCCTTGTCCCATAGTCACACTGATGAATATCTTGCATATCACCATAGAACCTTCATCTGGCGATGGATGGAGATCGAGACAGAGACCCACATTGGAGCACTGGACTTAGTTCCCTAGATCCAAATGAGGAGCAGAAGGAGGGAGAACATGAGCAAGGAAGTCAGGACCACAAGGGATGCAACCACCCACTGAGACGGTGGGACTGATCTAATGGGAGTTCACCAAGGTCAGCTGGACTGTGAGTGATGGACCATGTGATCAAACTGGACACTCTGAATGTGGCTGGTAATGAAGGCTGACTGAGAAGACAAGGACAATGGCACTAGGTTTTTATTCTACTGCATGGACTGACTTTGTGGGAGCCTGGTTTGTTTGGATGCTCACCTTTATAGACCTGAATGGAGGGGAGAGGACCTTGGACTTCCCATGGGTCAGGGAACTCTGACTGCTCTTAGAACTAGAGAGAGGCGGGGATGTGGTGAGGGGGAGGGAAAAGAGAGGCAAGAGGAGAGGCAGGAAATTTTTAATAAATAAATAAAAATAAATAAAGTTAGTAAACTCTCAACATGCATTTAAAAAAAAGAATATATTTTATTTTGTGATCACTGCAAGATTGAAAGGATAGGGCCACTAGGATATTAGAGGAATTGAGGTGCATATTGTAAAATCTCAAAGAATCAATAATGAAATTATATTAAAAATTATTAAAGAAAGAAGAAATGTACTGCATTTTTGAAAATATGTAACCAAAAACATACTCTATAGTAAAAAGTTGTTGAGGGATGGTGAGACTGTTTAGTTTAGTAAGGAACGAGCTACAGGTTGATGACCTATATATTCTGTGACATATATAATATATAATATAATGTTAGAATTTATGGATCCATATTTACTCCCCCCCACTTTCAAACAAATTAATAAAGTTATCTATTTAAAATATTTGGGAAGATATAGATTCCTGAATTTTAATTTTTTCTTTTTAAAATTACATTACTCTTCCTTATTTCCTACGCTCTCATTGATTCTGAGAAATAATGAAAATTATTTATCTATCTGGTTTGTGTCACCTTATTATCTCTAAGGGATTTCTGAGTGTGTGAATGAGTGAGTCTCTGATTCTTGGGCTTCATCTAGGGATTCTTTTCCTCTGTTGGGATTCCTTTTCTAGCCTTGATGTGATGATTTTTGCTTTATTTTACTATGTTTTATTTTGTCATGTTTGGCTGTTATCTCTTAGAATCCTATTCTTTTCTAATGAAAGAGAGAAATGGAGTAGATTCCGAAGGCAGGCAGGTGAAGAGGAACTAAAAAGGATAGAGTAAAGGGAATCTATAATCAGGACATCATGTATAAAAAAGAATCTATTTTCATTAAAATGAAAAATAATATTTTAATTAAATAAAAATTCAAAGTTCATTGTCATAGTAATACTATATGATCAACTACAAATAAATGTGCATGTTAAATTCACAATTAAAATTTTTCTAAATAATTTCGATATAGAAAAACAGAAGGAATAAAAGTATCATATATATGTACTATTACTTTGGAATTTGCATTATCCAATTTGAAAGTGGTAAGTGAGTTTGTAACTTACCATTTCACCTTAAGAAATATTGCCTTAAATGGAATGTTTGCTACACTGACATTTGGTTTCAACCATATAATTTATCAATCATTCATTTATTTCCTCTTAATTGAAATATAGTGGCTTTTGGTTCCATAATAGAAACAATACTTGTCCAAAACAAAATCCCACACATAAAAAAATAACCACAAATCACAATAACAAAATAAACATATAAGATCTAAAGAGTTAAAGAATTACTCATCAAAGACAATATCATGAATAATAGTTCTGTCTCTATGTAATACACACTAATTTATTCATTTTCAGTATACTATTAAAAACAAACTGTATCTAGAATTGTTATTACAAGCAATTTTCCATTATGCTTATAATTTTCACACAATATCACATTATTAATCTTAAATAATTACCCCTCGGGAATTAATACATTTTCCTTCATATATAATCCATCTTGTCTCGCATTCTATAGCCTTATACATAGAATAAAATATGAAAAAAATCTTTAGATTATAAATTCTCTACAGGAATGGAAATTATTTAATAAAATATAATAATATCCATTTTTAAATGCATGTGTGCGAGGTTTTCTATGTGATTGTAGATGCATGTGCATGTTTATGGGTAACCACCTGAGTGTAAGGGGCAGAAGAATCCCTTACATGAACTCCACAATAAAGTATTTGTCTGTTTTGAGGACAGGTTTTTCACCTTACCTCTATAGTTGGCATATGATGGCTGGCTTGTCAGCCCCAGGGATTTGTGTGCTTTCTCCTCCAGGACATTTGAATTGCAATAGCAAACATTGCACCCAGATTTTAATCATGGTTTCCAGATGTCGAACTCAGGTATTCACACTTTCAAATCAAGTGAGTTACTAAGTAATCTTTCAGCATTAAATATTTTCTCTCTAATTTCTTAGTTCTTTACATTGACCTCTTTATTTTTAAGAAAATCAAACCTAACCCTAATCCTCTGACTGTGTTATCACACATATCAAGACAGCAGATCTCAAAATAAAACTTTCAGCTCCTGGATAAAAGCACATTAGAAAGAAATGAAGGTTTTCAAACTATTAAAAAATCATTACGATTCCTGAAAACAGTGAACAATTTCATATGCAGGTGATGCATAGACTACAAGGTTGGTGGTCAAATATTAAATAAGATTTGGATTTAATCAATTGCTGGAGAGAATGACATGTTGGCATGATGTTGATATTGGAAATACCTCAATAGGCTCCTCAAACTTCCCAAAGTGAATGTTTGCAGGGCATACAGATTATTGCCATGACAAGGCATTCAGCAGTGATGCAGGCTTGCCCTGCATATTCTCTGAAACTATACAAGCCTTAGGTGCAATAGATTAAAGAGACCCTGGGTCTGCTTACCCTGATGCTGTGAATAAGGTCAGAATTCAGAACAGACTAGAATGAATTCCAAAAGTACTCTTTCTAAATTCTGGGCTATAATTGTCTCTATATACTTTATATTTATTGAGAGAATTTTATTTTTTCTTTAAAAAAATAAAGCTTATTTTAAAATTTTGTGATTTTTGTTACTATTTTTATTTTTTATTGACTTTTATTGAGCTCTACATTTTCTCTGTTCCCCTCCCTGTCTCTCCCGTTTCCCCTTCAGCTCTCCCCCAACGTCGCCATGCTCCCAATTTACGCAGGAGATCTTGTCTTTTTCTATTTCCCATGTAGATTAGATCTATGTAAGTCTCTCTTAGTGTCCTCATTGTTGTCTAAGTTCTCTAGGATTGTGGTTTGTGGGCTGGTTTTCTTTGCTTTATATTTAAAAACCACCTATGAGTGAGCACATGTGATTCTGTGTCTGGGTTACCTCACTCAAAATAATTTTTTTAGCTACACCCATTCTCCTGCAAAATTCAAGATGTCATTTTTTTTCTGATTGTGTATATGTACCACATTTTCCTTATCCATTCTTCAGTCAAGGGGCATTTAGGTTGTTTTCAGGTTCTGGCTATGACAAACGTTGCTGCTATGAACATAGTTAAGCACATGTCATTGGATATGAACATTCTTTGAATATGTACCCAAAAGTGGCATTACTGGCTCTTGAGGAACGTTGTTTCCTAATTTTCTGAGAAATTGCCACACTGACATCCAAAGGGGCTGTACCAGCTTGCAATCCCACCAGCAGTGCAGAAGTGTTCCCCTTTCCCCATAACTCTCCAGCACAAGTTGGCATCAGTGTTTTTGTTCTTGGCCATTCTCGTAGTTGTAAGATGGAATTTAAGAGAACTTTAAAAGCATTACTCTTGAAATATATGGAGTAAAACATGTTGCAAGTTACTTACATCTGTGCAGTCACATATCGCAGATTTCTGTTTAGGCCGTCAAGTACCTTCATATCCTCTGGACTCAACTGGAATTCCAAAGCCTACCATGCAGATAAGAAATATTTTTACATATTTAAACTGTATGTTTGCCAACTTGCACACTGTAATGCAACAGACTGAACTGTAATGACAAAAAAGTTGAACAATCTCAGATCTTTCAAAATACAAAGTTATTCTTCCAAACACTCAAGTGAGAAACAATGTGAGAGGCAGCATCACACAAATTCCCTCCACATATCGAATTCATACACATATACAAACAAGAGAGTGTTAAAGAGAAGGTGAGGACAGAAGGAATCTGATGTGATTTAAAGAAGAAATCATCATTGTCTAGATGATCTAAACCAGAAGTGCAATTTTCCAAATGTTTAACATAATTCAGTTGCTGTCATTTAATTGTTTTATTTCCACACTGAAAAGGGGCAATCAAATAGAAGAATGCTATTTTGAACACAGTTTAAAGGGATATTCTATTAATGATAATGATGTTTTATAAATGAGTTACAAACTGGTCTCAAGTTGGTCATCTTAAATACAGTTTGATCAGTTTAATCAACAAGATGATCATAACTGTTATGTATTTAAACAAATGGATCCATTAATTATTGTTTTCATCTGAGAATCAACACCATGAAAGAATTATAGAATAAAAATATCAATCATATCGCAACTTAGTCATGTAATTGACAGAATAAATGCAAAATCTCCTGAATATTTGAAAGTTAATGAAGTAAAAGTTCAGTATCAAGAAATTCACAAGATTGCATGATTTCTATGTATAAATGAGACAGAATATAAGCAGTTACTTATTATGAAAATTAGGGCATTACATAAAATATCATCTATGTAACTGCAATTTCCGATGAAATGATCATGGTTTGGACAGAACAGTACTGTCAAAACCTCATAGTCTCCAAAATAATGAACACATGTGAAAACAAATACAAACTAAACACCCATTGGGAGTTAGAAAGTGGATTCTAAATATTTTATTACAGAAAAAAACATAAATAATCAAGGAAAGCCAGGTGTGATGACACCTATTTATAATACCACCAGTTGGATTGTAAAAGGCAAAATCTTTAGAAGTTCTTGGTCGTTTTCACCTACATTGCTGGTTGAAGGCCAGACTACTGCGAAAATGACAACCTCAAAGTAAGCTACCATTAGTAAATACAAAATCATCCACTAAACCAAACTCAACCCAAACTCCAGAAAACATATAAATCCCTTGACATATAAAACACAATAAACTTAACTTCCCTAGATGTTTTAATTTTTTAAAGCATTTTTTTCTCTAACTTTTCAGTAACACCACAAGGGAACAGCAGTCGTTCATGAAAGTGATTGCATAGCTGGAATCTCTAGTGCAGGATGTAGGCACATATTTATTAGAAAACAAAGACAAAATCAAAATAAAAATAAGGAAATGTAAAATAACAAACAACATATCATCAAGCTGTAAGTAAGAGGAGAAATAAGAAACATTTTTATTTGAGATAGCCAAACTAAATCTGCACTATGAAAAATATGATAATTGACCGCAAGGGTGAGGACAGATGCATAGTCATAGATAGTGAGTCTAATTATCCATTTTAAATTGTACATATGCTTTGGTTAACACTTGAAATTATGAAATAGTATTTTTTGTGGAATATAAAAATGAGACAGAAAGAACAGAGTATATTTTCAAAACAATAGAGGAGAATATGGGTGTGTTGCACACAGGAATGTTTAACATCAGTCAACCAAATAGAAAGTATTGAAGAATCTTAATATAAAGAGAAGGCATTTCTGCTTATGTTACTTAATGAAAATTTAAAAAGTATATCATTTTTTTAGTAAAAGCTACAAAATCCACTTCAGAAACTGAGACCAATGGATTTCCAGAATTCTTAACATAGTTAATGGATTCACAATAGGAATACAATAATGCCAGAAGAAGAAGGAGCCTCTCCTAGGGATGATCCTCCTAACTGGTTGTCCAATACAAAGTGATCAGCTCTGAAGCTATTTATGTACCATCAACAAAAATGGATTCAGCATATTTAATTTGTACAATGGTGCATGTAAACATATAAATACAGATGTATGTAACAATAATAATTTAGAAATGAGGGTCTAACAATTTGATAGTGGAGAGACATGGGACAAGTAGAGGTGGGGAACCCAAAAGCAGATGAAGAAAGAAAAATGGAGAAGGAAAATGGTGTGATTACATTTTAATTAAAATCAACAAAAAATATAAGAATGTCTGCTTCATGTCTTCCAGTGCCTACTCTATTTCGTGCATATTGAGTCACTTGTCCTAGGATATAGAAAAAGCTTTTCCCATGTCTTGATACTTCCCTGGCAATTTGCCAGTTAAATATGCCAGAAATAATGGTATTCTTTGTCTAGATTAGATCACAATCATACATGAAAGTCCTTTCTGAGAACTCAGGAACAAAGTTGGAGTTGTGCAAAATAGTAAAGTAAAGCCAAGGCTGGTTGCAAGAAGTAAGAACTATTAAGAACAGAGATAGAAAACTATGTGGAAGAGAGATCAAGGAACTACACAAAGATGAGACAGACTCCACTGCAAACAATGCAATTTACATCTTAGAGCTGATGTGACAGAACACATCTGAGCACAGAAAATCTCTTTGAGGTCAGAGGAGACACACAAAAAATCTAAGCAAGGAAAAATTGCTTACATAAATTTTTTTCTATATGGAGTCCTTGCTAAGAGCAGGTGCATGACTGCTCTATGTATGGAGCCCGTACACTGAAATGTGTGTTTCTTAAACTCCTACAATTATTCATAATATAAAAATGATGACCTATTTGGAAAGAAAGCTACTCTCTACAGGATTTGAAAGGTGACAAAATTAAATTTAAAGATAAATACCTGCGTGTTAAAATAAATGTGTGTGAAAGGAAACTACAAAATAGAACATAAATAATTTGAAGACGCATTATCTACACTAAATCCATTTCATTTCAGAAGACAAAGGAACATTTCATTCACTTAAGGTTAATAGGTGCATTGCCATTGCAATGCTGAGAACAAAAATTTGTCTTGAACCTAATTTTAATTCTATATTGCTACAAAAACTGTGGTGTTATTACAGGTAAGGATAAACCCTTCGAATATATTTAAGACACAAGGGCATGGGAAAGCAAGATAGAAGAACTAGGGTGATATAGAATCAAGAGTTGCCAAAGAAGTACACTGGGGTGAATCAGTGTGACGAATTTTGAAGCTCACAGTCTAACTCAGCACCTGGATGTTCTCTTTGACTCGCTTTTCTTTGAGAGTGCTACTGAGGGCCACAATCCCACGCTGTATCTGGTAGCGAAGGGCAATCAAGGCTGGAGTTTGGTTGTATTTCTTTGCCATGAAATGAAGAACTGGTTCATCCAAGAGAACAGGGGAGCTTGGGTCCACCCTGGAATGAAATACAGTGAGGCTAAATCCTTCATTCTATAACATGTAAAGAAGTTTCAAATATACATGAAGGTAACAGTAGACAATGGGACTTCCCAAGTGTGTTCCTGGACCAGTAACATTAATACCATTTTTCATTCTATAAAAAAGCAAATTATCCCTGCTATCAGGTTGCATGAGTTTAAATTTAGAATTATGGGACTAAAGATATGCCTGCACAATTGTTTAATGACCTCATTACCATCCTGTATATCGTTGTGTTCCCAGGACACCATAGGCAACCAGTACAATATCATTTGACTTGCAAAATTCAAGAAGTTTCATTTGGTTGAGATAAGGATGACATTCTACCTGCAGATGAATGAATAAAGATATCATAACAGATAAAATGCCACATTAATATAAAGAAAAGTGTTAAAATACAATAAACTAAATTAGGAAAACTTATTTAATAAATTATGAATTGACTATAACAACACCAAGACTTAAGCATATAGCACTCTACCCATTCTGATCCAAGAAATCTTGATTAATTGCAGTGGCTCATTAAAAACATGAATATAAAGATTCCTCGGAAGTAGAAAGGTTTTGTGGCATGAGAGGTGTAGAACGGAACAATAAAGAAAATTGGGGGACTTTAACCAAGGAACATATATAAATTTTCAACACATAAAACTTTTCCATTGTTCAAAAGAAAATACTGGGATTGTTCATGGCTCTAATTTCGAGACTTAAGGATACTGAGTCACTCTGTGCTTGTGTGTGTGTGTGTGTGTGTGTGTGTGTGTGTGTGTGTGTGTGTGTGTGAGAGAGAGAGAGAGAGAGAGAGAGAGAGAGAGAGCGTTTATGAGTGTATGTTTGTTTTCATGTTCACTTGAACCTCAGCATGCCTTTGGAGATTCAAGGACAACTTGTATGAGTCAGTTATTTTCTTCTACCACATGAAGAATTAAAATCAGATTTTCAGGCTTGGTGGTAAATGCATTTACTCACTAATCTATTTTACTGGCCCCATAATTTATATGTTTCATTGATGTATTTATTGTTTTGATGTGGTGCGGAAGAATTGTCTGTATTCTGTCAATCATGTTTTAAATAAAACGCTGATTGGCCAGGCAGGAGGTGTAGGCGGGAAAGCTGACAGGAAATTGAAATGATGCCAGGCAAGCAGGAGAATTCTGGAGAGGAGGAAATTGATTCCTCCCACTCCTGCCCAGATCACCAAAGCAGCAGGATGTGAGCTGCCCAACTGAAAAGGTACTGAGCCACAAGGCTAACATAGATCAGAAAAATGGGTTAATCAAGATGTGAGAGTTAGCCAATAAGAAGCCTGACCTAACGGATCAATCAGCTTTATTACTTACGGAGTCCTCTGTGTGGGTGATTTTCTCTAGGACTAAACAATTATGGGGACCTGGTGGGAGGACAGAAAAACCCCCAACAAATAGGCCCCCTCATGTTACAGAATGGCGCCTATGTGGATAACTGCATCCACAGAATGCCTGAGAAAGCTTGGGAAAGACTAGAGTAGAGCATTTTTGCTTTCAGCCTTAGCCTGATAAAAGTTGTTCTGTTTTAAAATGCTGGCTTTCTGGGCCGTCCTGCCAGGGAAAACTCTGACTCTTTCAAGCAAGGCTGTCCCAATAGATACAATGTTGCAGCTTGCTTCCTGGAAAGGACCTTGAAATGCCATAGGAGCTTTTGAATGTTGTCTTCTCCATATTTCTTAGCAAATTAAAGACCCACATGGTCAGAAAGAGAGAGATACACAGTAAAGAGAGATTCAAAGGGGAAAAAAACCCTCTAACTCGTTTAAAGCCTTAAAATAAAAAAGAAAGAAAGAAAGTAGTTGGGTGTGGTGGTACACACCTTTAATCCCAGCACTGGGGAGGTAGAGACAGATGGATCTCTGGGAGTTCAAGGATAGCCTCGTCTACAGAGGGAGTTCCAGGACAAAGATATGCAGAGAACCTGTCTCAAAAAGCCAAAAGTTAAAAGTAAAAGTAAAAGAAATAGAGGTTAAAATAAAGCCACATAAAGATGGAAAATACACAGAGAATCTTGATACTGTTTGCTGTTATGCTCTCTTTGAATTGTTTGAATGCTGAGGAAGGAGAAACAGCTGCTAAAAGGTATTTGCTTATAAATGCTGCAGAATTAATCCAAGATAGGCATTTTGAAAATACCTTGGCTTCAAAATTGAAGTCAAAAGGTATGTTACTTTGGAGAAGAGATTTTGTTTTTGTTTCAACAGAAAATGAGAGGCTCTGGATTTATTCAGAGTTAAGAAAAATCATCTTTGACCAAGGGAGACCACCTGAGCAATCTCTGGTAGGAACAGATGGCCCAGTTGTCTGAGTTCTTCATCCAGAACAGGTTCAAGACTGATGCCTGAGATGATCAAGACTCACAAGATACTTCAGTCAGGACTTGATCATAACTCTAAATTTTCTTTAGGTCCCTATAAGATTATCAGCGCCCCCAACCAGCTGGAAGTAGCCTGGAATACTACGCCCACATTCCCAAAAATGGACTATGGATATTTTCCTTTGTTTTTCTTTTTTAAAAAGAAGGGAAAGTGGTGCAGGAGCATTGTCTGCATTCTGTCAATCATGTTTTAAATAACACGCTGATTGGCCAGGCAGGAGGTGTAGGCGGGAAAGTTGACAGGAAGTGGAAATGATGCAAGGAGAGAAGGAGAATTCTGGGGAAGAGGAAGTTGATTCCTCCCACTCCTGCCCAGACCACCGAAACAGCAGGATGTAAGCTGCCCCACTGAAAAAGGTACTGAGCCACATGGCTAAAATAGATCAGAAAAATGTGTTAATCAAAATGTGAGAGTTAGCTAATAAGTAGCCTGACCTAATGGGCCAATCAGCTTTATAACTTACAGAGTCCTCTATGTCATTTTCTTTGGGACTAAACAGCTGGGGGAACAGGGCAGGACAAGAACCCCAACAAACAAACAGGCCCCTCATGTTACATTGATGTGCTTCAGAAAGATGTAATTATATAACTACATCATGTACTTTGACCTTATTCACTGCAATTTCCATTCAAATCTCTAAATTTTTATTTAAAAAACTTCTGATGACTTATGTTCCAGGAAACCGTTTTTAAAAAGTAACCATTTTGAGATTAATCAAACATTTATCAAAATTCGAGATGAAATTACCTGTTTCTTCTATGCAGAATCATGGCATAAGCCTTGATGCAGAACATGGAAAGGACTTACTAAGTTTTGACTCTTAGTGAGAATAATAAAACACGAACTATAGAGTCTACAGCTTGAAACAGCCAGTTGGGTATAGACTACAAATCAGGAAGATTTTAGCAAGAACTTAAAACCAAAAGTTAATTCAAATAAGTGAAGTAATTCAAAATCGATAAATTCACTTGAGTGGACACACAGAAAAGAGATAATTTAACAAAGAAAAAGAAAAACATAGACTCCATGACACTAACAATTATGGTTTCTATAACAACTCCTGTCTCAGAACATTGGTAACTAAAGGTATATATTTAAGTAGAACTAGACTTTTCTTTAGTAGACAATAAAAGAAGAAGTAACAACACAACTTAGAAGGAGAATTAGTTTTGTCAAATTGAAACAAAATAATTGATCAGGAAAGATCTTTAATGGATTCTCAAATATCATGTTACAGTCCATCATAAACTATGAATTCCTTCTTGTAAATTATCATGCACGCATGTCACAGCATTTTCACTGGAGGAAAAATGTTGAAAAAGAAGAGTGCTCTGCCCATACTTCTAGATTTTAAGGGCAGAAACAAAGAACCCAAGAAGCAACTTAATTAGTAAGACTTTCATTATTCAAAATGGATTTAAAAGAGATACTGTGTTTCAAAAAACAAACTGTGGAGGAAGACTAACATCAGTCTTAGGCCTCTATGTATACATTTGCACATACTATATGTACGCTACATGCACATATACAAGAAACAAAACATAGAGTGAAATGTTATAAACTTGGTTCTCATAATGAAAATCCAACCAAAAAAATTGTCCTTATTCCAAGGGAAAGTTTTAAAAAATTGTTAGAGGTTGGTAGTAACATGTGCATCTAACTTTGAAAGTCTTGCCAAGGTATTGTTCACATATACAAATATGTAGTCATATGCATTTACTATAATTTACAGACTTGCAAGATATCTACAATTTTGGAAATGGATGAAGAAATATAGAAGATCAGTAACATTAATTAAAATTTCCTAAGTGATTGAAAATACTCATAAAATTATATAAAATTATGAATATCACATTGTTTTTTCTAATCTAAGTTTAATATTTTAATATATAATAAATTTATCTGGTTATGACAAGTATATTAATAGCATACACCTTTATTTCCTATATGTTACTTTATGTTGTCTACTGTAAATTGTTTCAAATGCATGAGAGAATGGAGTCACAGATACAAGGAAATTCTTTCACACTTTACTTGATGCCACAAAACCATTGAAATATGCCCAGGAACAAAGTCAGCTGAAGTATTGTTCAAAGTTTCAGAGTATTAATATTACACATCCAAATAATATCAGCAAAAAAAGTAAACTTCCGTGCTCTAACCTGGATGAGAATTGTGACCTGTTGTAATTCTTGTGTTGGTACATATCAACAAAGCATGTGAAACCTACAGAAACCTGGACCGCTATCATTTGCTACATTCATAGTATCCTTGTTTCCTGAACATCTCAAGGTTTTTCAGTCTTATCTAAGCACAGTTCCTAACAGCCTTTCCACATTGTATATTGTTCTTTCTTAATAAGCCAGGTAAAGTTTAACCCATCCTCCACACTGTCATCAAGACCATAGTCTACCTTGATTATCATACCTCTCTAAAATCTACTAAGAAAAGATTCTGTTGGTGTTTTCTATTAAGGCTTCACAGAGAAAAGCAAAATCAACTGTCATAAATATCCTATGTATGAACACTCTGGAGTTAGCTTGTGTTGCTCCACATAAAAAATGAATGCTGAAACCTGTACCTATTAATCAGTTTCAACAAGGGAAACAGGAGATGGAGAACAAGAGGTTGAAGATCCCCACCTCATTACACACAGGCTTGTGCTTGAGCCCTGGCTTCTTCAGGATCATCTCCAGCTGCCTGCGGTTAAAGTTGGACACCCCAATGGACTTGGCCAGTCCTGCATCCTTGCACTTCTCCAAGGCCTAAAGAAGAAAAGGGAATTGCAAAGCATTTTATGTGGTTGTATAACCTTTTGATTCTATTATGTTAAAGTCATGCATGCTACCCCGGCTCTTAAACAAAACGGTCCTTGGAAATAATGTCATTTTTTGACAAAGAAGACACACCCCACTCTCATGAATGAAACAGTGGCCTGATGTTTTCTCTACCTGCATTCCCCCATGTGCTGTTTCTAGTACTCACTTCCCACGTGGCACAGAGATCCACTGTGTCAAATATTAATTTTCCATGTTCATCTACTGGGAAATCATTTTCTCCTGGCTGGAATAAAAGCAAAAGTTAAAGTAACATTCTCAAAAAAGGCATGTTTTCTACCAGTAGTCATGCTTCTAGGGAAAGGGAATGCTGAGAACTAAAACTTCATAATACAGATGGGTCATATTTAATGTAATTATATTTTTCATGGGTTTGGAATGTTGAGTTATATAAAATGTCCTTAGGTGGTTAGATTCTATTTTCTTATACCTATTATATGTGTTCCTAAATATTACATCTCTGAGTCATTATGGGCTGTCCTCTAGACTTTTATAAATTTTTAGGGTTTTCCCCATGTGGATAACAAATTTTGTGTCTCTTCCCTGGAGAAGACTATTTTCCTTCCTCTGCTTCATTAGTTGCCCATTGTTCCTTGTCTAGTTCTGTGGCCTCATGAGATTTTCCCCTTCCACATTAACATGTCTGCTGGTCTTTGTTTGGGTCTACTTAATCAGCATGTTGGTAAGACTTCATGGGTATAGATTCCCTGGTATCTCTAGAGAACACAGTCTCATAGAAAACCCTCTATTCTTCTGAATCCTACAACCTTCATAACTACAAACTACTCTAAATAAAATTTTTGGATATTCAAAAAAACATACTTTCAGAGCCGTTGGGAAATGCATGAGGTAAAGGTTTACATAGTCCACCTGAAATTTCTTCAATGACTGTTCCAAGGAAGATCTCACCAGTTCTGGACGAAGACAATTACACCAAACCTACAGTGGAAGGTGGAATTCAGGTTGAATTAATATTTTCTAATAATTTTTTATTTACTTTACTTAATACAGACTTTTTCCACTAATTTTAAATTGACATAATCAGTGGGAATATATCACTTCTTCCCAAAAGTTCTTTAATCTGATCTAGCCATGTACATCTCCTATGTTTATCATGAATTAATCTTGGAAATTACCCAAGACCCAATATTTTAGTCAAGCAATAACTAAGTTTACCATCAATATTATCTTTTACTGGATTTAAAATTTACAATGAGAGTCTATTATTCTTACTCAAGTCAACTCAGTATGAAATAGTTGGTGAAAGTATCTACATGTGTATACTGTTTTGCTTATTCAGTACACACATATGGAGGCTAAATGTCATTCTTGTGGGTCTATCTCTGTCATTCTCTTCCTATGCATTTTTAAATTACATAATCATAGGGAAAATATTTTCAGCATTTTGTTGTATACTATATTAGTTACATTTGCTTAACAACCAAAATCTAATCTTATTTTCTCATATTAATAAAAGTATCTAAAATATTCAGAGCAATTAGAACTGCTAAAAAGTTATCCAGAAGATAAATAAAGCTCCTGAATATCTTCTATACTCCAACTTGCATCATAGTCCTATAAACTAAGATGATGAAGTAAGAACCATCAAAACAAACCATATTCATGAATCTAAAGACAGCAATAATGAGCCAACCATTCCCTGTCAAAAAACACTATCCACTGTCAGTAAGCACAAAGATAAAACAGTAAGTAAATTCACTAATAATTACTGATCTAGTCATATGAACCTCTGTCCAAATATTATGGTTCATTTGCAGGAACATTACATAAACAGTACCTTGGATGTCAAAAATATATCTTCTCTCCTCACAGTACCATCAGCAATCTTGCTTTGGATGACCTCTCCCACATAATCTTCAGTTTTATAAACAGAAGCAGAATCAAAATGACGGAAACCAACATCTATAGCTGTTTTGATGAGCTCCTTAATCTTACTTTTGGGAAACTGAGGACAACAAAAGGTACCATTTACAGTTAGACATGCATGTATTCAGAAAGTATTAAGACATAAAATGTGACCTGTTCTGGTATCAATGTTTCCACACATCTTATGTCGTAAGGATACCATCTAAGTTAATTGTGACATTTGTCTATGTAGTAACAAGAGGAAAGCAGTCTGGGAACCTCTTCTATTCTTCAAAACCATAGTTTAGTTATCATCACAAGATGTCTCCACTAGCACCTAGGATCCAGGACTTAAACAGGGAATCAAAAGAATATTAAAAAATTTACCCAGGAAACATGCTTCAATGGACATAAACATTAAATGCTGTGTAAGTAAATTATCCCCATATCCAAGCCAAGGCCATAAAACTGAGTTCTACACTCCAAGAAGTCAGCTATTTAGTGATTTCAGAAGAAAAAGACCTGACTCTTTCCCTAAATAACTGATGACCACAAAAATCTAACAGAACCTGAAATTTCAAAAAACAAAACAAAACAAAAATAGACAATTTAAGAGAAACAACTGACTTCTCAGTCTGCCCTCTTCCCTATCCTTGGCTACAGAAACAGAGCTGAAAAGGCATCATCTGAGTCCTGTGAACTCCAGTCACTGGGTAAGTGGGTCCCATGCCATGATGACAGTGTGGCCAGAACTTGAGAATCTCCTTTTCTGGCATCAAGTAAAACTTTCTCTGGAATGAAGGCTACTTGAACATAATGGATGATTTTTTTTGATGTGTTCTTGGATTTGGTTTGCCAGTATTTTATTGAGAATTTTTGCATCGATGTTCATGAGTAAGATTGGGCTGTAATTCTCTTTCTTGGTTGAGTCTTTGTGTGGTTTTGGTATCAGGGTAGCTGTAGCTTCATAAAAAGAGTTTGGCAATGACTTCTTGTTTCTATTATGTGGAACACATTAAAGAGTATAGGTATTAGCTCTTCTTGGAAGGTCTAGTAGAATTCTGCACTAAAATGATCTGGTCCTGGGCTTTTTTTCACTGGGAGGTTTTTGATGACAGCTTCTATTTCTTTGCAACTTATAGGGGGTGTGAGTGGATTGGGGGGAAGGGGAGAGGGGGAGAGAGAATGGAGAAGGGGAGGGTTGGAGAGAGCTTTGGGGAGTAGGATGATTGAGATGGAGGAAGGATGGATATGGGGGCAGGGAAGGAGATATCTTAATTGAGGGAGCCATTTTGAGGTTGGCAAGTGGCTTGGCTTTGGAGAGGTTCCCAAGAGTCCATGAGGATGTCGTCAGCTAGTACCCTGTTCAGTGGAGGAGAGAGTGCCTGAACTGGCCTTGTCCTGTAGTCAGACTGATGACTATCTTGAATATCACCATAGAAACTTCATCTGGCTACAGATAAAGAAAGAGACAGAAACCCACATAGGAGCACTGATCTGAGCTCCCAAGGTCCAATTGAAGAGCAGAAGGAGGGAGAAGATGAGTAAGGAAGTCAGGACCACAAGGGATTCATTCACCCACCAGGATAGTGTGCCTGAACTAATGGGAGCTCACCAAATGCAGCTGGAATGGGACTGAACAAGCATGGGATCAAACTGGACCCTCTGAATGTGGTTGACAATTGAGGCAGACAGAATCCAATGATAATGGCACTGGGATTTGTCTCTATTACATGTACTGACTTTTTGGGATCCTATTCTCTTTGGATGTAAACCTTCATAAGCCTGGATGAAGTGGGGAGAGTCTTGGACTTCCCACAGGGCGGGGTACCCTACCCTCTTTTAGGACTAGACGGGGAGAGGGGAAAGTGAGTGGGGAAATGGGAGGGAAGTGGGAGGAGGGGAGGAAGTGGAAATTTTGATTCCTATTATTTATAAAGTAATAAAAAATTATCAGAGAAAAAGAACTTTCTCTAGTTTTTGAAAAAGTTTAAATTCTCATCTTTTGTTTCTTTCTACACAATTAATTCTTAAATAGTCTTACACTGTGAATTTTCTATTACCTTTCTCCCAGAAAAAGCAGACAGAACTCATCAAATTCCCCAAACAGTGATTTCACAAAGGGTACTCTGAAGTTTAAAAGGATACTGTTTAGAGCCTCTACTCAAAGATCTTCACAGGCAGTTTGTACATAATCACTTGACTTCACATGTCACTATTTCCTGTCTCCAAATCAAAATATGTTTTTGAGAGCCCCAGTGCTTGTCCCACTAGTAGGATTGCAATCTACATATTATAAAATCAGTGTTCTGATATTTAATCAACAAAATTATAACACAGTGACACACCTGCTGCCTTCTCTAGACAACACCTTTTGCTTATTTTGAATCCTTAGCAGCTTCTAATCTTCTGCCTTTTATTCTACTTTCCTCCAAAATTTAAACAGCTCTTGTCATTGTTCTTTATCATTGTCCTTTGGAAATTTAAAAACACATTATTACATTGAAATGATTCAACAGGTTAAGCACTATCAACAATTCTGATGACTTTTTTCAATCCCCGAGATTCACATGGTGGAAGAGAAATTACCTAAGTCTGTTGATCTCTGTCTTCCATAATTGATCAATGGCAAATATGAACACAAACACCACACACACACACACACACACACACACACACACACACATACACACACAGAGAGAGAGAGAGAGAGGGGGAATGAGCGAACAGAAGAGAAGAGGAGAGAAGGGAAAGGACAAAAAGAAAAAACAAAATTTTGAGCCTTGTATACCTAAAAGCGCATACCCTGTAATTAAAAAGTAACAGCCACTCGAGAAAAGAGAGAATCTGTAGAAAATGAGGAACCATTCTACTCACAAAGCACTAGTGTTGAAATTGTTTGAATAATTCAAAACTAGCAAAAACCACATAATCTCTTTTTGACTGTGTAGCCTATCTGAGCAGATTTTTCCCAAAAGGTGAAATACATTGTAAATAAACATTTAAAGAGTCTATAATATTCATTTTCCATTAGCGACACAGAAATAAATGGACATCAACAACAGGAAGCATGATTCCAGGATAGTCAGCAGGCAACTAGTGACCACTCTGTCTCTGAGCAATCTTTCTCTCTTACAGCACAAAGCTGTAGCCCGGGTAAGTAAGAATCCGGGAACCCCAGCATTACCAGGAAGTGCATGATCTTTCAAGTCATATAGTCTTACATTTATTCTGATTCTATTTCTTCTAAACCCTCAACACCCAGCACCACTGTTTTTACCTCTTCAGGTACAGCAGTTCCAAAGCCCAGCACAGGTATGAAGTGCCCATCATTCAGTTCAATATTTGGACATTTGGAGTTCATCTTCTATCACTTTTCAGGGTTAGTTAACTCTGCTTGTTTTATCCTGCAGAGGTCATTAAGTAATGTTAAAGGCAAAGTTACTCCACTGCCTTCCTAATTAAATAGCAGTCTGTGACATGTGGGAGGAGATCAGCTGGCTTTCACCAGTGAGGGCAAATTACTAACTTATTTTTATCTGAAAGCTAAGAATAACCATCACAGGTGGTATAGCATGATCTTGAAGTAGATTAATTGCTATCTTTCTGAGGAATTAACGCACTGATTTCCATAGTGACTAAACAAATTCGCACTCCTACAAGTAATGGATGTGTGTTCCCTTTAATTCCCATCCTCAGTTTCATGAGGGCCCATTTATTGTTTGTCTCAGTGCCTGTGTTAATGATGTTCTGTTCAGTAATTCTCCTGTAACAATGGTGTAAAGGTTATTCCACTTTTTTTTCTCATTGTATTCAGTACATTTAGTTTTGTATTGTTGTATTTCATCCATTTGGAGTTGATATGAGGCAAGTTGATATACATATATATATATATATATATATATATATATCTTGTATAATTGCAAATTATCTCTGTTTAGTCGATAGGGTTTTTCTAAAGATCTTATTTGGATTTCTGGCCAGAATATTGTAAGAAAGTGCACCATTTTAGCAGCTGATACCCAAAAGACTGTCTTATAGTAGTGCTATAAGCATCATGACGTCTTCTCGACCAGATGGAGTCATTGTTGTGGGGCCCCACCTTCTTTCTGGAAACTTCAATGATTACTGCAGGAAAATCTACTATTCATTGTGGAAAACTTAAACATTATTCATATAGACATATATCCAACAAAAGATACTATATAGACAAAATTAGCATGGAGAAAAATAAAATATTTTCTTAAAATGTATCTTCTTTCTGTCCCATACAAGAATGTTTCTGACATGAGATGGAAAATCTGAATTTTTCTTTTAAGAACATGCTTGAATTTAGAGAAGGATAGCAACTGTTCAACTCCAAAGTCATTTCTCTCTCTCTCTCTCTCTCTCTCTCTCTCTCTCTCTCTCTCTCTCTCCATATATAATATATATATAAATCACCTGATATATATTGATATCTATCTATCTGTCTGTCTATCTATCTATTGATCACCTGTCCTCATAAGTCATATTTCTTTTTGCTGGGTGATCCTTTTGAAGAGTTATTTTTTCTTATTAGGCACCAAAACATCCAGGATCTCTTGACTTTTTGAAGATGTATATTTTCCTGTAAAGACAAGAACAGATTCTGCCACAATTCTATATCTTACCAACTGTATGATTTTCACCGCTATGAATGAGCTGTCATTTCTCATTCTCGCGAGTTTTTTTTATCTTTTTCAAAGCAAATCTTTATTAATCTTGAGGGTATTCATATTTTCTCTTCTCCTGTGGAAACAAGAACAACCCCCCTTCCCAAACTTAGCTCATCTTCTGGTTTCCATTGTAAGGTCAAAACATCCTTGAAATATACTGACTGATTTAATTCAGAGGGTTTTTTTTGAAAAAATAAAAGTATTTATTTATTTTTAATTGAAAATTTTCACCTCCTCTCCTCCTCCCATGTACCTCCCCCTTCCCCCAGTCCCCCTCCCACTTCCTCTCCAGTCCAAAGAGCAGACAGGGTTCCCTGTGCTGTGGGAAGTTCAAGGTTCCACACTACATCCAGGTCTAGGAAGGTGAGCATCCAAACAGACTAGGCTCCCACAAAGCCAGTCCGTGCAGTAGAATCAAAACCCAGTGCCATTGTCCTTGACTTCTCAGTCAGCCCTCATTGTCAGTCACTTTCAGAGAGTCTGGTTTGATCCCGTGTTCCAACAGTCCCAGTCCAGCTGGCCTTGGTGAGCTCCCATCAGATCAGCCCCACTGTCTCAGTGGGTGGCCATACCCCTTGTGGTCCTGACTTCCTTGTTCATGTTCTCCCTCCTTCTGCTCCTCATTTGGACCTTGGGAGCGCAGTCCAGTGCTCCAATGTGGGTCTCTGTCTCTATCTCCATCCATCGCCAGCTGAAGGTTCTATGGTGATAAGCAAGATATTCATCAGTGTGGCTATAGAATAGGGCCAGTTTCTGGCGCCCTCTCCTCAACTGCCCAAGGAACAAGCTGGGGACATCTCCTTGGACACCCGGGAACCCCTCTAGAGTCAAGTCTCTTGCCAACCCTAAATTGGCTCCCTTAATTAAGATATATACTTCTCTGCTCTCATATTGACCCAAGCTCTCCCCATCCTCCCCTTCTCACTTCTCTCTCCCTATTTCCTCTAACCCCCACCCTACCTCCACCCCCAAGCTCCCAATTTTTTCCTGGCAATCTTGTCTATTTCCAATATCCAGAAGGATAACTATATGTTTTTCTTTGGGTTCACCTTCTTATTTAGCTTCTTTAGGATCACGAAAAGTAGCTCAATGTCCTTTAATTATGGCTAGAATCCACTTATGCGTGAGTACATACCATATGCATATTTGGTTCTGGATTACCTCACTCAGGATAATGTTTTTTATTTTCATCCATTTGCATGCAAAATTCAAGATGTCATTGTTTTTTTTACTGCTGAGTAGTACTCTAATGCGTATATATTCCACTCTTCCATTCTTCCTTTCTTCCATTGAGGGGAACCTAGGTTATTTCCAGATTCTGGCTCTTACAAATAATGCTGCTATGAACATAGTTGAACAAATGCTTTTGTAGTATGATTGTGCATCTCTAGAGTATATTCCCAAAAGTGGAATTGCTGGATTGTGATGTAGGTTGACTCTCACTTTCCAGAGAAACCATCACAATGATTTCCAAACTGGTTGCACAAGCTTGCATTCCCACCAACAACGGATGAGTGTTCCCCTTACTCCACATCCTCTCCAGCATAGGCTATCATTGGTATTTTTGATTTTAGCCATTCTGACAGGTGTAAGATGGTATCTCAAAGTGGTTTTGATTTGCATTTCCCTGATCGCTAAGAAGGTTGAGCATGACCTTAAGAGTCTTTTGGCCATTTGAACTTCTTCTGTTGAGAATTCTCTGTTCTGTTTAGTACCCCAGTTTTTAATTGTGTTAATTAGAGTTTTAATGTCTAGTTTCTTGAGTTCTTTATATATTTTGTAGATCAGACTTTGTATCATGCGGGGTTGGTGAAAATCTTTTCCAATTCACTAGGTTGCCTTTTGGTCTTAATGACAGTGTCCTTTGCTTTACAGAAGCTTCTCAGTTTCAGGGGGTCCCTTTTATTCAATGTTGCCCTTAATGTCTGTGCCACTGGGGTTATACATAGGAAGTCGTCTCCTGTGCCCATGTGTTGCAAATGACTTTCCACTTTCTCTTCTATCAGGTCAATGTGGTCAGATTAATATTGAAGTCTTTAAACCATTTGGACTTAAGTATTGTGCATGGTGATAGATATGGTTCTATTTTCATTCTTCCACAGATTGACATCCAGTTATGCCAGCACCATTTGTTAAAGATGCTTTCTTTCTTCCATTGTATAATTTTAGCTCCTTTGTTGAAAATCAAGTAATCATAGGTTTGTGGTTAATATCCGGGTCTTCGATTCAATTCCATTGATCTACATCTCTGCTTTTATGCCAATACCAAGCTGTTTTCACTACTGTAGCTCTGTAATAGAGTTTGAAGTCAGGGTTGCTAATGTCTCCTGAAGTACTTTTATTGTATAGGATTGTTTTGGCTATCCTGGGTTTTTTGTTTTTTCCATAGAAAGTTGATGATTGTTCTCTTTAGGTCTGTGAAGAATTTTGTTGAAATATTGATGGTGATTGCATTGGATCTATTGATTACTTTTGGTAAAATTGCCATTTTTACTATGTTGATCCTACCAATCCAAAAGCATGGGAGGTCCTTCCATTTAATTGTATCTTCTTCAATTTCTTTCACCAAGGACTTAAAGTTCTTGTCAAATAAATCTTTCACTTCCTTGGTTAGAGTTACCCCAAAATACTTTATGCTATCTGTGGCTATCATGAAAGGTAATGTTTCTCTGATTTCCCTCTCTGCTTCTTTTTTCTTTGTGTACAGGAGAGCTATTGATTTTTTGGAGTTGATTTTGTATCCTGTCACATTACTGAAAGTGTTTATCAGCTGTAGGAGTTATTTGGTAGAGTTTTGGGGGTCGCTTATGTACACAATCATATCATTTGCAAATAACGAAAGTTTAACTTCTTCCTTTCCAATTTTAATCCCCTTGATCTCCTTATGTTGTCTTATTGCTATTGCTAGAACTTCAAGCACTATATTGAAGAGGTATGGAGAGAGTGGACCGCCTTGTCTTGTTCCTGATTTTAGTGGAATGGCTTTAAATTTCTCTCCTTTTAATTTGATGTTAACTGTTGGCTTGCTATATATTGTTTTTATTATATTTAGGTATGAACCTTGTATTCCTAGGCTCTTCATGACCTTTATCATAAAGGGGTGTTGAATTTTGTCAAAAGCTTTTTCAGCATCTAATGAAATGATCATATGATTTTTTTCTTTCAGTTTATTTATATGATGGATTACATTGATAGATTTTTGTTTGTTGAATCAGCCCTCTATTTCTGGGATGAAGCCTACTTGATCATAATGGATATTTTTTGTATGTGTTCTTGGATTCGGTTTGCCTGTATTTAATTGAGAATTTTTGTGTCGAATTCATGAGTGAGATTGGTCTGTAATTCTCTTTCTTGGTTAAGCCTTTGTGTGGTTTTGGTATCAGGGTAACTGTAGCTTCATAAAAGAAGTTTGGCAATGACTCTTCTGTTTCTACTTTGTGAAACACTTTAAGGAGTATAGGTATTAGCTCTTTTTGGAAGTTCTGGTAGATTTCTGCATTGAAACCATCTGGTCCTGAGCTTTTTTTTGATAAGGAAGTTTGATAAGGAGATGACACCTTCAAATTCTTCTCGATTTACAGGTCTATTTAAATTGTTCATCTGGTCTTGATTTAATTTTGATATACGGTACTTATCTAAAAATGCCCATTTCTTTCACATTTTCCAATTTAGTGGCATACAAGCTTTTGTAGTAAGATCTGATGATTCAAGGAAATTTTATTTTTGTCTGTTGTTATGTCCCCCTTTTTGTTTCTGATCTTGTTAATTTGAGTGTTCTCTCTCTCTGCCTTTTGATTAGTTTGGATAAAGATTTGTCAATCTTGTTGACTTTCTCAAAGAACCAGCTCTTTGTTTCATTGATTCTTTGGATTATTCTCTGTGTTTCTATTTTGTTGATTTCAGCCCTCAGTTTGATTATTTCCAGTCTTCTACTCCTCCTAGGCGAGTCTGCTTCTTTTTTTCTAGAGCTTTCTCTCTTTTCTTTATGTGGGCACTTAGTGCTCTGAACTTTCCTCTGAGCACTGCTTTCATAGTGTCCCATAGGCTTGGGTATGTTGTGTCTTTATTTTTGTTGAATTCAAGGCAGACTTTAATTTCTTTATTTCTTCCCTGACCCAGGGGTGGTTCAGTAGTTTACTGTTCAGTTTCCATGAGTTTGCAGGCTTTCTATTGGTAGAATTGCTGTTGAATTCTAACTGTATTCCATGGTGATCCAATAGTACACAGGTGGTTACTACAATTTTTTTGTATTTATGGATGTTTGCTTTGTTACTGATTATGTGATCAATTTTTGAGAAGGTTCCATGAGATGCTGAGAAGAAGTTATATTCTTTTCTGTTTGGGTGGAATATTCTATAGATTTCTCTTAAGTCCATTTGGTTCATTACATCTGTTAGTTCTCTTATTTCTCTGTTAAGTTTCTGTCTGGTTGACCTGTCTATTGGTGAGAGAGGAGTGTTGAAATATCCTACTATTAGAGTGTGGGGTTTGATGTATGCTTTGAATTCTAGTAATGTTTCTTTTACATATGTGGCATAGATATTCAGAATTGAGACTTCCTCCTTTTATATTTTATATTAGTGGCATAGATATTCAAAATTGAGACTTCCTCCTGATGAATTGTTTCTGTTATGAGTATAAAGTGTCCTTCTCCATCTCTTCTGATTGATTTTAATTTGAAATCAATTTGTTTTTAGAAATTAGTATAGCCACACCTGCTTTTTTCTTTGGTCCATTGATTGAAAAACCTCTTCCCAACCCTTTACTCTGAGGTAGTGTCTGTATTTGAGGGTGAGGTGTGTTTCTTGTAAACAGAAGAATCTTGGATCCTGTTTTCATATCCATTCTCTTAACCTGTGCTTTTTTATAGGTGAATTGAATTCATTGATATTAAGTGATATTAATGACAAGT